CTATGTTTAGTCAGCTTCTTTGTGAGTATCCCTCAAATTACCTATTCACGCTAATAGTCTTAATTTCGTGTGGTGATTATCGTAAATCCCGATGTTCAGTTTGCTTGAGGACAAGCAAAAGCTTAAGTGTGGGGGAATATGATAAGTCCGTATTTAGACACGCATTCGATGCATGTTTACATCGGATTTTGATGGTTTCCCTAATTATTTTGTGTCCCAAGTCTCATTTTTAGCTCAAGTCATAGTTGTCGGGTGTTGGTTCGAGTTTTGTATTGTTCAGCGTCAAAATCAGGGAATTTAAGCCCAGCACCGACGCTTGAGAAGCAATCGGAATTATTCGATATGCATTGGAGAATGAATCGAGAGCTTTAGAGGTCACCGGAAGGTTTACGACAAAGTTTTAACGACAAAAGAGCTCTATGAATGGCTACAGGATCAAATGAAGACGAATAGAGCTTGAAAACGGCGATCAGGATGACCTTTTGTTAATCGTTCAAGCATATTTTTTTGTAGAAACATTGAAAGGATACGATTCAAGTTCAATATGAAATCTAACTTCAAGGAATACAAATCATATGAAGACACCATTGCGAGAATCTGAGAGGAGGAAGGTGAAAACAGACGAAGAAGTCGGATGATCGCTGTTGCGATTTCAGAATGCGACCTTCCACCATTTTATTCATATCTTTTGATTGGATGATTCAAATCCAGTTTTGCAAGTTGTGGTGCATAAAGTACCTCACTATCTACATCTTTCATGAAGGAAGAATCGTCAAATTCAGATGGGCACGGTCGTGCCTGGCAGATAGGCACGCCGCACCTGTATTAGAAAGGGAGACCCAGCTACTGGAGGTCAGGCACGGTCGTGCCTGCCAGGGAGGCACGTCGTGCCTGACTCTGATGCGCGACATTGCTTCGTTGGAACGGAGGGAGGCACGGTTGCGCCTAGGGTCGTGCCTGCATCGGATTTTCCAAGTTTCAGCCAAATTGAGTTGTTTTCTATAAATAAGGCCTTCATGCGCCTATTTTGAGGGGGTGGGGCTTAGGCAGAGTGCCTGACACGAAATTTAAAGAGCTTTTGAGCCTTGTTCATCAATGTCTTGCGATTCTTTGTAATTTCGATCTTTTTAATTAATGACAATTAATTCTATTTATTCCAATTCTATTGATTCTTCAATTATGTATTATGAGTAGTTTTAATTAGAGATTTGAGATTGATGAAGGGGTTGATCATGATGTATGACTAGTTTCTTGATGGATTAATTTCATGGATCTTTATTTAATTTGTGTTTGAATAATTAAATTGATATCTCTTGTAACCTAGAACAGCTGCTAGGATTATAATTGAACATAGAATAAATTAAGAGAGATCTAATTTATTATAGGACACCTTCACACACAATTAATCGTTCGCTAAGAGATTAGTAGCGTTTAAGGGGCCGTGCGCTCTCTCGTTTTGGCAATAATTTTAGATACCTGTCGAATGAGAGATCAATCTGGTTCCCTAAATTATTGTACTCTACGCCGCGAGAGTGGTTAGAACTAAGTATTGATTAGCGTTGCTCAACTAATTAATTTTCATGTGATTGAGGCGGATTTGCCAGAAATCTGATACACTGGAATCATCTTTGTTCCCTTCTTCATTAATTAGAGAGACCCCATTAATCAATCTTGCACGACGCATTTTTATATTTAGTTTAATCGCTGAATTTAATTAATTCTTGATTCCCTTTTTCTGTCCCTGTGGAGACGATACTCGTACTTACACCCTATACTACTATCTATTTTACGTGCGGGAAAACTACATGCAATCCCATATTCCCATCTCACCCACAATTAATGTACTCTTGAAATTTATAACACTTTGTATGACAACATTTCTTTACAATATGGTTATGCTAAACATTAACTTTACAATTATTATTTATTATTTTGTTATAATACTATTTACTTTTATTATTATTATTATTATTATTATTATTATTATTATTATTATTATTATTATTATTATTATTATTATTATTATTATTATTATTATTATTATTATTATTATTATTATTATTATTATTATTATTATTATTATTATTATTATTATTATTATTATTATTATTATTATTATTATTATTATTATTATTATTATTATTATTATTATTATTATTATTATTATTATTATTATTATTATTATTATTATTATTATTATTATTATTATTATTATTATTATTATTATTATTATTATTATTATTATTATTATTATTATTATTATTATTATTATTATTATTATTATTATTATTATTATTATTATTATTATTATTATTATTATTATTATTATTATTATTATTATTATTATTATTATTATTATTATTATTATTATTATTATTATTATTATTATTATTATTATTATTATTATATTAACGCTACTATTAGTATTACTTCTACTTTCATGAGTTTTTTCCTAAAATATTACGGAGTACTAACATTTTTTTTTGAACGAAACCGGCTTAATATATCATATCAGAACGGACCAAACAGACCAAACTAAACAAGATAACCGAGTGACGACAAGTCTCCTGTCTACCGTCTGCCCAAGGACCAGACTCTGAATTAATCACCTCCGTAGAAGCCATATAATTCGCTGATTCCGCTTTGGGCTTACCTAAGCCTATGACTTGTAGACACGCCACCTCAGTACCTAATTTAGTCTCAAAGTTATTATTGCTGGAAAAACACAGCACAGTCAGAGCTAAAGTAACATCCAGAACGTGGAAAATAAATAACATAAAAAAAACTAGAATAAAAAAGTTCTGCAGCAAGGGAAAATGTAAACAGCATCAGGTCCTCTGGCGGGGCTGTAGACCAGCTCCCGCCCCTTCCCCGTTTTTTGGAAAATCCAGAGCCATAGATTCCTCCTCAGCATCCTCACTTGCCTGGCTCTTCCACGTACGTCTCCTCTTCAGCTCTCCTGTCAGACCTTCCTCTTCAAGCTCACCTGAAAACAAATTATTTCCCACCCCCGCCTTAGGACTCGGACTCTCACCCCTCTCATCCGAGACCATCTCCCGACTAAGACTCATCTTACTTGATGGGTGCTTGTCACCGCCAGAGGGGCTTCCTTCCATTAACAGCCATTTACTACTCAATTCTTGTTTCGCCTTTCTTCCACTCGCTCTAAGCCACGGCCCAAAAGGTTTGGATACTGCTTTTTCTCCCTCCTCGTATAGTAGGGGACAAAACTTCTCTGCATGTCCAATCATACCACAGCAAAAACAGAAATTTGGCAGCTTCTCATACTTAAAGTCTACCCAATAGCCATCCCCCTTGCTTTTCTTTAATGTGGTTCCGATTCGTAGTGGTTTACCCGTGTTCATACAAACCCTCACCCCCATATAAGCCTCCTTTTTGCTACTAAATTTTTGTTCATCCCAAGAGATGAACTCCCCCAAGTAATTTCCTATTCTCCTAGCCGTTCCCAAATTCTCAAAATCATATGGCACATTATGAACCTGAACCCAGATCTCAAATTTATATAGCACAATCTTACTCGGGATATCCCCCGGCTCAACAGCTTTTAGCACAATCAAATTTTGATCAAACAGCCATGGCCCATTGTCCAGGACCCGATTCATATCAACAACTGAAAGAACTTAAACAGATACCTTTTTTCGCCAAGCTCTTGTATGGTGATTCCTCTGCCCGGGTGCCACAAATCAGCCATAAATTTCCGAAAGAAAGGAAACGGGATGACTTTGTCCGCGAGAACCATCCCTACCACCGGATACTCCTTCTTCCCTGGCCCTGCCACCGCTTCCCCTTCCTCCTCGTCCTCAATTAGCAGCACCTCGTCCATCCCACCGATCCCCAGGTTGCCATATTTGTCGATGAGATGGCGTACCTGTTCATTCACCTCAATCCTCCCTTCCCTGCGCCCGCTGTCTTCCCTGCGATAGCTCGCCTCACCATCGTCCATCATTCGGCCACCTCCCGCTGTCTGGTCTTGCCTAGACATCACTTCGGTCTCAGATCCTTCAGCGCCGCGCGAAGCTGGCGAAGGAAAAGTCCCTCAGCTCTCGCTAGGGTAATCCACAACTTTAAATTTTTAATTATATTTTGTTAATTTACGGAGTACTAACATTAAATAAGAGAAAAATAAAAATCTCAATCCAACTTTTGAAATTAAGAATACTTATTAGTTATGTGTACACCAATTGTTTTTACTTATTAGTTTGTACTTTTATAGAAGTATTTTAATTCATATCAATAAATACTAAAACAAATGTATAATCATAAAAAATTATAAAATTGAACTAAAAATGTTTATATTTTAAGATATACATAGTATCAAATTTATTCCTATAATTTATGAGTTGTCTAGATGCTAGAGTTCGGATTGAATAACTATTTGAAGCTCGTTAAGCTCGGGGCGTTAAATTAGATTCGAAATCGCGCTCAAACTCGAGTTGTTTAAAAAAGTTCGGTTCAATAACAACTCTAAACTAATTAAATCTTTTGTGTGTAGTGACAATTTTTTTACAACTTAGCTCATCCCACTCTTCATTCCTGAAGGCTGGATCTGCCCCTGATATGGGGTGAGGGGTTTATTAAGCAGTATTATAAAACATAAAATGTATATTCTAAACATATATTTATCAAAAGAACTTTATTTTACCTACATTAATAAGTTAAATGTGAAATTAATTGTGATGTAAAGCTGTGTTAATAAGAGTCCGTTTGGTAACACTAAAATCGGCTGAATCGGCTGATTCTGCTGAAATTTATGAAGTTCTGGCTTAAGTGGCTGTATTGACTGATTTTGCTGATTTATGAAAAAACTAAATTTAAAATATATTTTATTAATAAATTAAAGAAAAAAATTATTTGTAAAAATAGCTAATAGTCCTCTGCACTAACTTGAGCCGAAACAACCAGTAAAGTAACTGCAACCTTACTTTTTCTATTATTATTAGACATTAAAGTGTTACCAAACGTGCTCTCAGGTTTCTTATTTTCACTCGAAATCTACTGTTGCATTCCAAGCCCAGGCACAACACTGTCTTTCCTATGCAAAGTCTACAGTTCAACCCGCATTTATACACACAGAAAGTCAGGGTCTTAGAAGTTAGAAGGATTATCTTGACGAAACGGTAGCGTTGTTCGTTCATCAGTTGGGGAATTGCTGGTGGTTTCGTTTGGTAATAATTGCTTGATTTTTAATTAATCCTTTTTAATTAACCGTTTGGTAGCATAATAATTATAAAAACCTTCGACATTGGTTGGGTGAATTAGAATCAGATCTGCAAGTTGCTTGACGTGGGTCGGTTGAAGCTTTGATCGCACTTCACTTTCAATCTCTGTCCAGTGTTCACCACCTTTTTACTCCTTTACGTGGGTTCAAAGATTTCTTCTTTTTTTTTTTTAAATTTCTGTCGTTAGTTGCCCATAATCGGTTGGTTCGTCAGCCATCACGTATTCACGTTTTCATTCATCCCTTGAGTTGATTATTATTTGTCTCATCACACACACATATATATACCTTCGCTAGGCTTCAACTCTGCTGCAATTACTTCTCTCTAAGCCCCTTTCCTACAGAGTTCTTAGAAGTATATTCATATAGTTAGTTCAGGTTTAAAATTCTGTAGATTTAAATTGAACTCCCTTTCATTTATTTTTCCAGTCTCATTTTGAAGTATTTATTTATTTATTTATTTATTTATTTATTTATTTATTTATTTATTTATTTATTTATTTATTTATTTATTTATTTATTTATTTATTTATTTATTTATTTATTTATTTATTTATTTATTTATTTATTTATTTATTTATTTATTTATCAAGCAGTAGACATTTGAATTGTCATAAAAAGTTTTCCCTTTTCTCTAAGGGGTTAATATCAGTACTTTGCATTTTTTACTATGTTTACACTTGGTGAAAATTTCATGCGGAATTCATGGTGTTGTGGTTGTGCTGGTTAGGTAAGAGTATTTAAAGAAATGGCCTCAACTGCAGTAAAGCAACCTCCAGAACCATCACCACTGAGAAAGGCTAAATTTTTCCAGGTAAAGAAGTATTTACTTACTAGCTATGTCATATATTCATTATATAAATGCCTTAATTTCTCATAGCAAGGTTGCTGTTGGCCTAAACTTGAAATGATAGGCAAACATGAGGATTTTGGTTACTGGTGGTGCCGGTTTCATTGGTTCTCACCTGGTTGACAGGCTAATGCAGAATGAGAAGAATGAGGTAAATTCTCTTTTAGTGGCTTTTCTTTTCTGTCTATTTTGTTGAAGTTATAGATGTAGATTAAGGGCCCATTTGGTCAGAGGCTTTTGGCTGAAAAGACTGAATGTCTGAATGTGCTCTGTTTGTACAGGAAGAGTTTTCTCTAACAACAATTGCAGCCAAAAATATAACCCACACTTTCAGTACGAATCTCGAGGGACATATTCTGAGATATTTGGAGTTCACTTTATAACAAAATTAGAATTAAAAAAATCTTTGCAAAAGTGATTTCCCTTGGTACTTGTGATTTGATCATGTAGATAACTTACTGTCAAGATATTATAGAGTATAGCAAAAATATACAAGTATCCAAAATATTTGAGAAGTTTGAGTAGTATTGCTTATCTGGAATAGAATTTTTATAATACATTGATATGGATTGGCAGGATTTTATTGTGTTTTCTTTAGCATAAGAAATTTTCTACTTAACTCAGTGGTTTAGTAAGTGTGTATTAAGCTAATACCAGCTAACAGACAAAGTCTAAAACATGGTTTTGGGGTGGATGTTCTAATGTGCTGCTTCTTTGTTTAGGTGATTGTTGCAGACAACTATTTTACAGGATCGAAAGATAACCTCAAGCAATGGATCGGGCATCCAAGATTTGAGCTCATACGTCATGGTTTGTCACTTTGATTTTCTAAACGTTTTTTCACAGATACTTATTTTTCTTTATTATGTTGTTGTTGTTGTTGTGTGTGTGTGTATTTTGTTATGCTTATATTCTAATATCAGATGTCACCGAGCCATTGATGGTTGAAGTTGACCGGATTTATCATCTTGCATGTCCCGCTTCCCCAATTTTCTACAAATACAATCCTGTGAAGGTTAGAAATCAAGCTAGCATTTGGTGACACTCTTTATGCTTTTTTTTTGTTTCTATGATTAGGATCATGTGAGTCAAACTCATGTTAGAGATTAAATGAAAGATTAATATGAGATCCCTTTAGTAAGGGTCAAGTTTTTGAATGGCTGAATTTGGTGAATTTTCCTAAAAGGAAAAGCATTTGGCAACATCTGCTTTATCCTTGAAAATGACAAGTGACTAATTCTGCCAATAAGCAGAATAAGCCAGTCATGGAATCCAAATGGAAACTTATGGTTTAGGTTAAAGAATCAGCTCAATATGTGATATATTGGTTGACATTTATTCTTTTTTTTTTTCATTCTATTTAATGCTTGCAGACAATTAAGACAAATGTAATTGGGACACTTAACATGTTGGGACTTGCAAAGAGAGTTGGTGCAAGGTTTAGATTTTGATTATTTCTCTACATAATATTATATTTGTTATATGAAATGGAAATTTGCTCACTTGAGAGTATGTTATAGGATTCTGCTCACTTCAACTTCTGAGGTTTATGGGGATCCTCTTGTGCATCCTCAAGATGAGAGCTATTGGGGCAATGTTAACCCAATTGGTAACAACCAACCAGCTTTTTTCCCCAGGCTGTTTTGTTCAATCTTGAGAATGTTAATGTGCTAAATGTCATGTATTTTCTTTTCAGGAGTAAGGAGCTGCTATGATGAGGGAAAAAGAGTTGCTGAGACTTTGATGTTTGATTATCACAGGCAACATGGAATAGGTACTGTTTTTTTTTATGGGAAGGAATAGGTACTGTTTTTAGATTAATATTTTTTAAAATAATTTCACTTGGATTGACAAAGAGTTGGTAAGATTTATTAAACAATTAGTAAAATAAATAAGAGAAAAAATGGAAGAATTGGTCATTACTCAATTAATTAATTTTAGATTGATGCTCTACTTCACTTTATATATTCCTACTATACAAAGTATCAAATTTGAGTTTCCTTTGATAAATATTCGAAGGCAAAACCATAATGAGAAAAAAAACGCACTTTCCTTGTCATATTTATTCTTCCTTTCCTTACCGTTTTCCACATAACCTCGTGCTTTCTTGACTGTTTTTCTTTTTGTGGCCTACCTTGGCAGAAATCCGAATTGCTAGAATCTTCAACACTTATGGGCCACGGATGAATATTGATGATGGACGTGTTGTTAGTAATTTCCTTGCTCAGGCAATTCGGTAATATTCCCGGAACCAATTTTATTATGGCTCTTACTATCGGAAGTTTGTTTATGTTTTGTTCACACTTTATCTAACATTTGTATTTTACTTCTATTAACTCGTCCTAGAGACGAGCCTTTGACTGTCCAGTTGCCCGGAACACAAACTCGCAGCTTTTGCTATGTTTCTGACATGGTAATCATCTAAACCTAACTAGTATTAAATAAATTAAAGAATATAATATCTATAAAAAAGGCATTCATGTTTTGTCAATTCTCATTTCAGTCGAAAAGTAATGTTGCGCTATCTTTTCATTATCGTCAATGCAATTGATTGAGTTAGTGTTTGGTAGAAAAATGGCTGATATATAAAGCTACCAAACAACCACTTAAACAAGACAATAGAGAAGTAAAAAAACCTGTTTTTAACTCATCATCTTGGTGAAGGTTGACGGGCTCATTCGTCTTATGGAGGGAGAACATACCGGACCTATTAACATTGGGAATCCAGGTCAACATTCTTATTACTTGGCTAATCAGCTCATTAGTCATTACTTCCACTTTATCAATCTTTACCGTCATTGCTTAAACTAGGTTTTCTTCACTCGATTAGGTGAATTCACAATGCTTGAACTGGCTGATACTGTGAAAGAGGTAAAGATCTGTACTTTTGATCATTTCGATAGAGTCGGTTTGGTTACTCGGCCGGTATGGCCCTGGGATTTCATCAAGGGAAAGTTCAATAAGTCAAAAGCCACTTATTTTTTATGATAAGCAGGATTAGTCACTTTTGGTTACTTTAGAGGGTTCATATATTACTTGAATGTATGCTAATTTTTTTTTGTGGAGCAGATGATAAATGAGGAGGTGAAGATAATAAAGGTGGAGAACACACCGGACGATCCCCGGCAGAGGAAACCAGACATCACAAAGGCCAAGGAGTTGCTCGGTTGGGAACCAAAGGTGAAGTTGCGAGATGGCATTCCCCTCATGGAAGAAGACTTCCGTGGCCGGCTTGGTATCCCAAGAAAGACTTGAGCAGCTGCTGCTGTCATTGCAATTTTGTTTATCTTCTTTTCCTAAATTTGATTCTTTTCTCTTCATTTATTTGTCTTGCGGGGGAATAAGTTGGTGTGGTTGCAAATTTTGCGGTCTCGCTTTATAAGGGTTGTTTCAATGAATATACTTCATTATATCTTACGAACAATTATATGATGTACTGCGCAGCGTATATGTTATGTTCAATATGAGTTTTTTAGCATATTTCTCATCACAATTAAGTTGATTTATTAATTTATTAATTATCGCAGTTGAGTTTCTACCAACTAGGGGCGGACCCAGAAGGCGGTCCCGGACCAAACTGGTCCGGTATTGTGCTGGATTGGACCCGGATCCGGTACTGTGCTGGCGGACTGAATCGGGTAAAGGGCAGTCCTAGCCCTCTTTCTCGTTTTTGGGGATCAGATTGGATGGTCCTGGTTCAGGTCCCGGACCGGCCACTTTTTTTTGCATTGCAGATGAAATACTCCCTCCGTAACTTTAAAATCTTCCCATTTGAAAAGTAGGTAGATTAAGAACAGTGAAAGAGAATATGAATTATTGGGGTATGATATGAAGATAGTGGAATAAGGTGATGGAATGTAGGATAAATCGAAAAAAATAGTTGTAATAGTGTATTATTTTCAGAATTATTGAGAAGATTTAAAAATGGGAAGATTTTTTTGTTGCGGACGAAAAAGGAAAGTGAGAAGATTCTAAAGTTACGGAGGGAGTAATAAATAGAATGAAACCGGAACTGGATGGCCCGGGGGATCAGAAGAGGACAGGAACGGGATTATCCGGTTTGGACCCGATCTTCGTTACTTTGACATCGGAACCTGAATCAGGACCGGATCGGAACCGGGTCCACACTACTACTAGTAACACTTGAAAATCATTGTTTGAAAGGATGACACCCCATTCCTGAGGGCCCCCCAACACTGACCGGACGGCACGATGGGAGGATGTAAATTGGACTATAATCACAATCTGACAGATAGAGAGTGAGGCTCTGTCCCCGGTACTTTGAAAATCATTGTTTGTTCTCTTAAATGCCACATCCTCAACTTTTTGCTGTGCGTCGATTATTTGAAGTTGGGTATGTAGGCTAGACTGCTAGAGGAAGTTTCTCCCGCAGTCATGCCCGCCAGCCGTGTGAGAAGAAAGTCAACCAAAACTTTCACCATGGTCAAACTTATACCAAGTTTAAATTTAAGAACTTTCTGAGCCACTTCATTCTTAGTTATTATTACTCCAACCCCGGCTCTCTCTCTCTATATATGAAATCCATCGATTGCAGAGAGAGAGACATCCACCATCAAGGATAATTCAGATAATGGAGGCTCTACTAAAAAGCAGCACATTGCGTTTTAGCAGAAGAGCTGATTGCTACGAGCCGTTTGATCAAATCCAAATTAGGGCAGAGGAAGAGCGCGGCGGCAGCTGGAGAACTTTTTCGAAGAATCAGCTGAGGAGCCGCCGCAGTAGCACCGCCGTGGCGCCGAGCTCTTTGAGCTATAGGCGAGAAAGGGCGAGGCGGCGATTGGTTTTCCTTCAAAGCTACAAGCTTGAATCTTCCTCCTCGGCCAAAACAAGGTCGGAGGAGCTGAGGAAAGTGGTCGTGAGGGCGATGAAATCGGCTATGGTTTCGATTGTTTCTTTTACGAGGACTAGCGCCATGGGCACTTGTAGCTCCAAGTCGGCTGCTATTCATGTTGTTTCTCCTGCTCCGGTTATCAAGTGTTGCTAATTTTTTCAAATTTATTGTTGTTAGAAATGTAATTATTAGACTTTCTTCCATAATTAGTAAATCTATTTTTCTTGATCAAAATAATTTGATTTATTTTACTTATTTGACAGATCAATCTTCTCATTACAGTCTAATTTAGAATATTTCAACGCCTACTGTGTGTTTGGCAGACCATAAAGCAAATTCTTCCCTAATTTTTTTAATTAGTGTTAATAATTAAAATTTTATATATTCATAATTACTTTACAAGTGGGTGAAGTTGTACTAAGTTAACCGTATGAAAAGTAACGAGAAGATTTTTTTTCTTTAAAAAAAAACAATAAGATTTTTTTTGGAACAAGTCGGCTTAAATTGATATCAAGCATTCACTAAGGGAATAAGAAATACAAGAATCACTTTCAACCACTCATACTCGAACAAGACTTAGAGCCAATCACCAAGAAAAAAGCAATATGACTCGCTGATCCTGTAACGGGTCTAAATGAGCTTAACATGGTTAAAGTAAACACATCATCACCCTAACCTAATGCAAGAGTCTGGCAAAAATAAACGTACAGGACAAACAAAACAACATGTAGTTCGAAGTAAAGCACACACAACTAAAACAGAAATAGAAATAGTCGTCCAAACCCTAGTCGCACAACTCATTCATGGCGGCGGTTCGTGAGGGGGACGATTCAACATCTCTTCGTCTTCTTTCGCCCGTAGGCCACCGTTGAACCCCTGTTTTGTATCCACGAAAACAACAAGCCAAAGCGCGAAACCAACCCTGCTATCACTCCTTGACAGGGACTAGCAACCTTCAAACCAAAGCAGCCGAACGACACCCCAATGAATACGCGGATCTGACATCCGGAAAAATTGGGTAGCTACCCTTCACGTCTCACGTAAAGAACAAAGCCACGAAACCAAACGCTAGATAAGAGAAGCGCCGCAGAAGAAGCCTGCTTCGATCGATCTGTCTTCCAAAGCCAACAGCGCACAGTAGATGATGTGAGGCAACAATCAATCGAAACAGGCTCCTCATGCCAACCATTAAGTAAATCATTCAAGACATGTACAACCCACCCTCTCCACCCGATGACCCGATACCACAAAACGGAAGCGTATACCATACAGTCGGCTGTGCGGATGGCGCCATACAGTCGGTGGTAAATTTGTAATTTTGGTGAAAATCCCGGTTTCTCTTAAATGAGCATTTATACAATCCTGGTGAGCATCGAGTCTGTTCTTTTGAGTATTAGGAGACTAACAATGAGCACTAGTGATCCCTGCTTCATATCTTCTAATTCAATTTCTTTTTTATTATTTTTTTTGTTTATAAAAAACTCTTAAATTATGTTTATAATCAATTTCAATTAATTTCAATATGTGAATCTAATGTGGTATTATGCTTTTGAAATGTGAAAGATTTTACAATGAGCATAAAGCAATGCCACAAGAGCATACATAACTTACAAAATGAGTATCAAATGTCCATATTCAATTCCAATTAATTTCAACATGTAAATCTAATGTAATATGATATGTTTGAAATGTGCAACATTTTAGAATGAGCATAAAGAAGTACCAAATAAGCATATATAACTTGCAAAATGAGTATAAAAAAATGCAAAAGGTCATTTGTGTATGCTCATTCATTTGAGGCTTTATACTCATTTGAGTTTAACATAATGTATTATGATACGTTTGAAATGTGCAACTTTTTAAAATGAGCACAAAAAAGTACCAAATGAGAATACATAACTTACAAAATGAGTATAAAAAAATTTAAAAGCTCAACTGGTGTGCTCATTCATTTTAGGTTATAACTCATTTGAGTTTAACATAAAATTCATTTTTGATATGTTCAATATTCATTTGTATGTTCATTTCGTTTAGACGTATACTCATTTGAGTTTAATATAAAACTCACTTTTATAATATTACAACAAACGTAATAAATTTTGTATAAAAAATTGAGAAATTTATAAAAAGAAATTGTGGCAGCACATAGCAGGTCAGAAATTTGCAGAGGGGGAAATAGGTCAATAGTTGGTGAGGAATAGGAATCGCTTGCACAGGAAGAGTCGTCTCTATCTGCATCGGCCAAAAATCTCAGCCGTGAGTTGCACTTGGAAGCTTGGCTATCGGCGATCTGCGTTCGTGAGTTGCACCAATCTGCCATCCTTCGTTGTCTTCATCGGTGAGTTGCAGGGCTGAATCGCAGGTTTAATTACAAAAAACCCGTCTGTACGGCCGTGAGCACCGTACAGCTGGCTGTTCCACAGTGGCCACGAAACTTGCCACAGTGGCCAAAATTATTTTGCGGTCTTGGTAAACCACACAAATTCATCAGCACGTTCCAATTATAACAATTGACCATCAAATTGCATAAACGTTTCAACAATGTTTTCGAAAATGAAGAAATCTATTACAAATATAAATTCAATAGCACCAAATGAGTTATATTGTTATACTAGTAATAGACAGCTAAGTGAGAACTGAGAGTATTCATTGCTTAACTGAGATGGAATCGTTTAGACTTCAGCAACAAATCAGAAAAGGTGAACTCTTCAAATATTCAAAGCCATGAAAGTATGATATGTAGTATATTATTACAAAATAAAATAACATAAAAAAATGCGAGACCACGGTGATAAACTGATATCTATCAATAATAGAAAGAAAGATTCTCAAACTTTTCTTGCATTTAAAGGATTAAAGGAGTGTTTGATGTTGTTCATATTTATGAAAAGCGTTTACTCTTTTTTTACCATTGAAAGCGTTTAATCTAGAAAATAAAGGAAAAAATAAATCTAAATACAAGCTAAGCAAATACAGAAATAAAGAAATAAATCGAAAATTAAGGTGATAAAATTGAAATAAGGATGAATGCAGACTGGTGCGAGTAAAAAAACAAGTTATTAATTAAGAATCCACAAAATAATGGAGGGGGCATAACGCAGTATATAACAACCCGATTCCTCTCCGAATCCACGTCTCGTACAATGATCATGGAAATACATAGGGAGGAATTCCACCATTAATCTTCTCCTACATAAGTAGCTTCGTAGGAGCCTAGGAGGTCAAGATTGTTGTGCAAACAAGTTAACTAAAGCACTTGTTCAACAACAAAATGGAAGTAGATGAGTGTCAATGGCCATAACAGGATAATACAAGATGCTGATCACTATCTGAAATATAATAAACTCATAAAAGACATAATCAGGAAGCACTTTGTGCAACCCTTATGGTCAGAGATTTGCTAAGGTGGCTCTCTCCATCTTCTCCCTGGCAATCTAGTCAATAGTCAGGTTAAGTTTCAAATCTTAGTACTAAGCTCGACCCCCCTCCCCTCCTTATTATACCTTTCGAATATACTCTTCTAAAATCTCATCGAAACGTTCTCTAGCCAACCCTTGCCTCTTGATGGACTTTAAAATTTCATCTGATCTTTCAAACTTTCCCTTAGATTCCAAATATTTCACACAAGTAGCCAACAGTCGCATGTTAACTTTCCCTTATATTTCT